GGCTTGAGAGTTGCACGCGGCGTTGGGTCACCATAAAAACTGACTCGCATGCAGTTTCTCCGACCGCCATGTCTTGGAGCACGCAGTCCATATCTTCGAATGCAACAGCTAAAAATGTCCACCTTTTCATCTGCTCTTGCTAAGAGTGCTTTTCATGTTTCTCCCATTTAGTGTCGGCGCTTTACGACTTCATCAAGGAGTACCTAATCCCTACGGTGGGAGATTTCCAACTCTGTAAGTTTCTCTATGTGTCTCACGCCTGCAGTTCTTTCCTCCCTCTCCACCAAATCGTGCTCGGAGAACCCCTCCTGTTTTGTCGCTAAACATTGCCTCCACTTCTTTTTCCTCTCCCCTTCAGATACAACACCCCCGAAGGTTAATATCCCGAACAATTCTACAACCACTCTTGTTGAGGTAAGTCCTTCTCGGGTTAAACTCGCATTTTGTCCTGCTCGGACCAGTTAGGAATGCTCTACTGATCACGGTGTGTGTGCGTCTTCACGGCAGTAGTGACCGCTGCAGTCCCCTTAAAAGTGATCTCAAGGAATTTCCGGAAACAAATGGTTAGGCAATGTATCGATGCAAAGGAAGAAGTCAAAAAATACGTCAATTGTAGGCGTAAAGTGGGCAGCTATTGGTTCGCCGAAGGAGTAGTCAAACACGACTACTCGTTTAGCACGAGTAGTATAATAATTGCCTGATTGTTGTAAGTAATTTTTTGGTTGCATGATTGGGAAAAAAGTTACAAGCGGCTGAAGCGTCCTAAAATGTACTGTAGCTCATGAAGTATGCGCAGATTCATGAAGAATCTCCACTGATCCCGAAGCAAACGCAACTTACTCGACCCACTCAGCTGAAAACAGGAAATAGTTATTGACAGATATATGATGTTAGTTAAAAATACTTATAAAGGCAGAACTATCGAAAGCTAAAACTTTGCGGTCAAACGATTAAATATAGGTTTTGTTGGGCTTTATTTTTCGACGTGGTAGCACTGATTTTGGTGGCTATTAGCTACCATCCGTCTCTCTATTATATATTCCTCCCTCAGTTCTTAAAGAGACACTTTGCAATTCCCGTTTTTGTCGTTGTTGTTGCAGTAGTATATACTAACAAACCTGTTTGGCATACGCGGCTGCGTTTATTCTCACTACGTAACAGCCAGCCAAAGAAGAACAGTTTGAACGCAATTTTGGTTTGCTGTCTCTTCCATCAACTCAGCTGTTAAGTTTTCCAGATTGTACATCTTTCTCAACTCAATTAGAATTTCAAAATAATGGCTACCCATATTTAAGTCAATAGTATTAACATCAATAGGGAACTATATAGTCGCATTGACTGAAGGAACTTGGCGGAGTACCTTGTCAACCGTACAAGGTCCATCCCTGTGGTTGATGTTCATCTGATCGCCGATAGAAAGGAGCACCGCAATTCCAGGAAGTAGTTCAGCAGCAGAAGAAGAGATCGTTAACCTAAGAAAATTTACACTTTTTTTCTGATTTTAGGCCAACCTGGTTCCGATGACTAAGGTCCATCTCACTTTACCGTCAGGTCCACCAAAGGCCGCAGATGGTGAGCTCGCAATTTTGTTTTTTAAACTTTCACAAAAATATATATGACTCCATAGGTCGTAGCAGAGTTTTATTTTGATCTAATTCTAGTTTTCACTTAATATATTTCTGCATTCTGTGGTGCAACAACTAGCAAAAAGTGTCTTTTGCTTGGTGATTAAGTTGACATGCTTGGCGCGAGCGTTGAAAATGTGTGGTTTTACTCGTTGCAGAGCAAGAGCAGACAAATGAATGTTGGGAAAATAATCAGTTTTTATAATTTCAATAAGTGATTGGGGTGAGGGATGGACTAGCTGCCCAATTTTAAAAACCCACCTCCTTTGACATTTACTTTCGGCTTTTTCTTTCAAAACTATAACAATCGCGATAATCTACAACTTTCAATTATTGCCTCCCGTCACCCCTGGGGTGTAGAAAGTTGGCACACAACTTGGCAGAGAACCACAGAGGGGTCTTCGAAAAGCCAACATGTACAAAAACCGCTTACATACAAATTTTAAGTAGGGTGAACTTCCACAACCTTCCAATTATTCGGGTGAAAAATTCGAAGATTTGCAGTAGTAGACATTTTCAGTAGTGTCATTTTGACTGCCTTCCGTTTTCCGTGAACACATGCGAACACTCTGCAACCTGCAAGCGCCCGCTGTTTGTCCAATTGGGGTTAATGATGATAGTAAAAATGGACAGAAAACTACAGGGGGTCCTTGGAAGGCAAAGAGCCGCTTCCTTAAAATTTTTTT